CCACAGGGCTTCGCGTTCAATTGCTGGCTCCTTATTGGGTTACAGAGGCTAAAATCTTTTTAGTTTTGCCTCCAGCCAGACTTGAACTGTTGACCTTGACTGTGGGGGCATGGGAGCTTAACCGCTAAGCTATGGGACCCACACCCACTTTTATTGCTTTATGATCATTAAATTAAAATAATTACCACTAATATTTAAGGAAGATAAACCTGTATTAATATAAAGAGCCTCCGACAATGCTTTGATCCTTCAAAAGAAACATCATTATAATTGAGCTCTAAAGAAGTTAAGGTATTATTGACATATAAACTTCTGCTAACACTTTTATTTCTTCAGAACCAAGACATATTAAAAGAAGTCAGTATAGTGTTTTTGCGTAGAGCTTCTGCCAATAATTTGGCTTCATTAAAACTAAGGTCACTGCTCGTAATGTTCAATGAAGCTTCTACTATTGCCTTCATGCCTTCATGGCCAATCTCATTGTTTCCAATACTTAAAGAAGTTAAAATGGTACTCCTGTAAAGCCAAGTTTATTGCAATAATGAATCGGAGAGGTTTCTGCAAAGCTCCTGCTAATGCCTATCCTCCTCCAACGCAAAGCTTCAGAAAAAAAAGACTTAAGGATGTCAAAAAGATGCCTTTGCAAGTACTTTCCACTATTAAAATCAAGTTTGGTAGACCTAAGAATTAAGGACGTCAGAGTCGTGTTTTTATAAAGAACTTTTGCAAGTTCTTCTCATCCTTCGTTTCCTATGTTAATTGTGCGAAGATTCAGGTAGATAAAGTAGTATTTTCATAAAGAGCATCAACCAATATTTTTGCTTCCTTAAAATTCCGAATTTCTAATAAAATCAGGCAGATGTTTTTGCAAAGAACATCTACTAGTGCTTTTATAGCTTTAAAACTAAGTCTAGTGTCAACAAGTCTTAATAAAGTAATGGCGGTGTTTTCGTAAAGAAGTTCTTTAAATATTTTCTCTAAATTTTTATTAATGATTCCACAAAATTAAAATACATGAATTTTTTACGTTCACGACCAAAATTTTAATTAAAGAAATTTCGATTGGTTCAAGTATATTATCATATTTTTTATATATTTCATAATAATTATCATATTTAACTTCATATTCATCAGTGTAAAGATAATATTTGATTCGTTTTTTTAATTCATAACTATCAACATGTGTAGTTTAAGATGTATGTTTAAATAAGAGCTTTGGATCATCAGAAATGGGTACATTTAATGGAGTTAATAGAAAGCTTTCTTCTACATTTAATGATAACATATTGTCGCGGGCTAATAGGGCGGATCCAAGGATGGAGCGAATGCGACGAATTGTCGCTCCAGAATCGTCGACGTC